CCCCCAAACCCCAAAACCCCAAAACCCCTGAGAAGAAATCAACATATTTACTCAGAATTCTAGATAAATAGTAAAATTAAATGACAGATATAAATATTTGGAATCTGAGATATTTTCTTCAAATCATTGATATTCTAATTCATTTTTTTAATATTTTCTTAAGATATTCCAACTTAATTGGCTTTTCCACTATAAAATAGGATTAGATCTGTTTAATTTTCTTGAATACTTACCATAACCATCAAATTACTACTCACCATACATCATGGTAAATTCTTGCTTAGTAGAGGCCGTCAAAGCATAGACTAGAGTATTGTCCATGCTAATATTTCCTAAGACCTATAGTTTTCTAATCTCTTTAATCGTAGAAATTCCATCCATGATCGGCATCTAGATATCAAGAAAGATGGCATTATAATGATTAGCTTTAGATTTATTATTGCTATTATTTTTTTCTAAAATCTTTTCTATAGCCTCTTGCCCGTTTAGAACTTTATCAATCTCAAATGCTTAATCTGATAATAAGTTTTTCAAAAGCAATTCCAACACTAAAATATTGTATACCTAATCATCAACTATCAGAATTCTCATCTTCTAGTTCAGGCTATTTCCATTTTTCATATTCTTTCCAGCTGATGGCCTTCGATCTATCTTTTCAAATCTTAATAAATTTTTCCTCTGAATAAATTAGGGGCTTGGGACTGCTCTTTGAAATCTATTCACTTAAATAGGTAGCAATAAGGGAGATTAGTATTTATCGTTTACACTAATAAGCAATTTTCCTTGACTGGAATTGTAGTTGTTCATATTGAATCTATTAGAAAGGGATGTATCATCTGGTAATGCATTATCGACTAAGCTAAAGTTTGATTATAATGCTGGTAAATTATTTTGATGATTCGGTTCTCCTTATTAGGTCGATTCTCAGCTGGTTCAGCTTAGAGTAAATTTTAAGTTTTGTTATCATCATCATCAATAGTCTCTGGTATATCCCATAATTCTATCTCATCTTAAACTTCCTACTCTAGTTGGCATATTTAACTTGATCTGTTGCTTAAATGGAATTGTACTCCTCCATTTGAGTCATTTAGCTCATATCTTTCTGCATTCATTCTAGTGAGTTCACTTTATTAAGACTCTAATTTTATTGTGAACTTAAAGGATGAGCCCTTGCAAACTTAAGACTTTACAGAAATTTATCCTCCTAATTGCTCAATTATCTACTTTGAAATAGATAATCCTAGTCCCATACCACATTGATTTAGCTTATTAGGCGAAGTTAATTTTCCGAATTAGCAAAAGAGTTTTTTTAAATCAGGGGTTGATATACCAATTCCGGTATCTATGACTTTAGTTTAGATAAAATCAGCTTAAATTAAAGTAACTTTCACTGTAATTGAGCCTTTTAGTGTAAATTTCATAGCGTTACCAATCAGATTAAAGAGTACCTACTTATATCTTTTTTCATCAGTATATACAGTCTAAGGTAAAGAGGCATCAATATTACTTATTATTTTCAATCCCTTTAAATCTGCCTGAAATTTCATGATGTCAATTACTTCATCTATAGTGTTCTTCAAATTGAAAAGTGAATAATTGATCTCAAATTTGTTATTTTCAATCCTACTCATATCAAGTGCATCTTCAATTATTAGTGAGAGGTGAATAGTCGAGTTAATGATTACTTTTAGAATGTTCTATCCGGCCTCCCCCTAAATATAAGGCCTTAAATTTTCACTCATCGGTATGATTGAATTTAGGGGTGTTCTAAGTTCATGAGCTATACTAGAAAAGTACAATGACCTTATTTTTTGATTTTACTACTCAAGCTCTTTTATCCTTGTTATATCATTAGCAATCATAATAAGCTAGTTTCCATCTTTATTAATTGTTTGTATTTTTATGAGCAAGAATTTAAATGCGCCTCTCTTTTTGAATATATAGTTATTTTAATCTCTCATATGATCCGGCATACCTGTACTTACAATAAATTAAGTTAGATAATCCCATAGAGACATCTTTTGTTGATTAAAAAAAGTTAGATTTTTTCCCTATCTCAAAACCTAGCCATCATCATTAAGACCGTCTATTGTTTAGCCCTCATATAGTGATTCTGAAGTATCCTAAATCTTATATTGCTTCAACAGACTCGATATTAACTATTCTTAATCTTCTGACTGTTCCAAATAATCAGATCCTATTATTGCTTTTAGCTCCGAATTGTAATAATTAATTTTATTTGTAGGCTTGTCCATTATTAATACCCCTTCAGGTATAACCTATAATGTCTTTTCCCATTTTTCTTAAACCTAAAAATTTTATGTTAATGAATGAATAAGTATCCATACAAAAGTGCTATGTGATTAGTACAAGCTTATTACTTGAAACTACTGCTTTTCCTAAGTTTTCGAACTTAAAAAATTGAATGCAAAAGATATTAGGATGCCAAAAGCAAAATCGCTTGACCAATAGCCTAAATGTTTAGTGAATATAAAATTATACCATATTACCAATAAGATCTAGCCAAATAATAAAACCAGAAGAAAGATTAATTGATGAGTTGCACTTTCCAATCAATATACACTATTGTGTTAAAATATCCGATACATGAGAGAAATGCTATGTGTCTAAAATATGATTTGGATTTAATAATATTCAATTTAATCTGGTTTACAGTTGTTCCATTATTTTTTTTGAAAATAAGGAAGCAATCTTGAAATTATTGAGATTTATAGAACAAAACTTACGGTTCAGAGAAAGAGTAGACATTAGGGTCTTTGACTATATTTTTTTCTGTGAGTAAAATAGCTCCAACTATGCATAGACATGTTGGAAAACACTTCAAAAAGCTATCAGTGTATTGTAGCAACTGCACGAATAGTAAATTTACCATCAACATTGCAAATGGAATTGTAAACTTAAAATGGAAACTCTAATTCTGTAAATCCTCTACGGTGAAAGAGCATATAATGAGTAGTCCCATCGCTGTCGATATAAAGAAACAAGCTTTTATGCATAGTTGTCTAGATTCCAGCAAATTTTTTTCTATTTAAGCATCCTTACTAAGATACTAAGTATTTGCTGATGAAAAAGCGTCGTTAGACATCATGATATCTCCAATTTTGTCTTTAAAGTATTTTAAGCTTAAATTTATGATTTAATAATTATATTTAGAAAGTTGAACTCTGATTTTCTCAATAATAAAATTAATTTTGCCTGATAATCTTTGACTTGCCAAGAGCTTAAATTTCATCCTTTGTGTATTTATTCAAGTTTACCAGAAAAAGTTTGATTTTACTCGGATGGGGTTTTGGGGTTTTGGGGAGATCGGAAGAGCACACGT